TCAGTCCTCTCACATTTTAAAGATCACAGTACCCAATATAGCTTAGAGTTGGGGTGTAAGGTAGGTATCGGGACCTATTCTGGCTAGAGCATTTCTCAAGGTTCACATATGCGACTGGAGAAAGGCAGTCTTCCACAGCTGACATTCCTTCCAAACACAGGAAACAGAGAAGAGCATAAAATCATTAAAAGGCATGCAAAACAGTTCTGGAGAAGCAACTTTCTCTGAGCAATAGAAATAAAGGGAGTTTAATCAGAGCTGGTGGGGCCAAAGGAAGACTAAAATGCACAGCAGAAAGACTACCAATTTTAATTCTAGTAATGACATGTAGGTTAATAGAAAGGATTGGCACCTCACCCATGTATATGTGTATGAACATGCCTGGATTCTAATGGCTTCTAAAATTTAAAAGACCAAAACTAGTTTTTGTTTTTCCTGCTTACTAGCCTTGAAGCTATGCGGGAAAAAAAAAGGAAAATGAGGAAGCTCCTAGAAAAACTATTCTATGTTCATGAAAATATTAATAGCTTATATTTTAAAATGCATTAATTGAATTTACAGGAATCCACATTTTATATATTAGTTCCAAATAATATATTTCAAATGTTTCTGTTCTTTACTAACAGCCTCAAATCTCAGGAATGTATGAGGCTTCTCTGTTTTAGATTAATTTAAAAACAATTTTGAAATATTTCAGTTCCTGTAATGAATGGTATTGCTTCACCATGTTTCGGTGAAAAAATTAAAATCCCACTCGATGACTTGAAACCTCATTCATTTTCATCTGCTACCCAAGTGTTGTTTCTAAAACCATCATTATACTGCCTGCTTTGCAAAGACAGTGTTTTAGAGAACCCACTGAACACCAACACCTTACAAACACCTCCCTGAGATGTTGTAAGAATTTCTCAGTTTATATTCCTATGTCTCATGATGCAAAGCACCAGGAGTGAGGGAGAAGAGCAATTATGCTAACTGCTTGTCAACGTTAAGATCTTGCACTCAGTGTTAGTGAGTCATCACCCCTACAAACTGTCAGCCAGGCCATATCAGTGAGACAAGTAACATTATAAGAGGCTATTTTAAATATGTATCTTGAAATAAGGCTGTAATTAGCAGAGGTCAGCATAGTTTCACGTTTCACTTTTACATACACTGAGAAGACAGAAAAGCCATGTGAGAAACACCGAAGTGGCCACTGAAAATACTGCCAGGAGTTTAAAAGTGACTCTCACAACAAAGCACATTAATGGAAATAAAGCCCAGAGCGTCCAGCGTCATCAAACACAGCCCTACGAAACCACAGTTCGTGAAGGTGTGGTTTGCAACACGCCTGAACATCTATGCATCTTCACCTGCCGGCAAACACACGCTCTATAGTGCAAACGCAAGCCAAGCCTAAGCATGACCCCTATGCCATAAACCACATGAAGCTGTAAAGGCCCTGGGGGCACTGACTGGCCTCACGGGCCCTGACCAACCTCACCCGGCCTCCACCCTCAGCCTCTGCCCAGGGCCCAGGAGCCCCACGGCACCTCAGCCTCCCCACGGCGCTGTGCCGTAGGAGCTAGCTCCGGAGCCTGTTGATCCTGGCCCCTGGACAGGCAGACCTCCCGGCTTCCCCAGACCTGCCTAGCAATTGCTGGACCTGACCCTGAGCTGTGGGTGGACCTCAGACCTGCCCCGTCACTGCAGACCTGGCTGGTGTCCTTTGCTCCACCCTGGCCGCCAGCAAGCGGGTTTGCCCGGCTCGGCCCGTGCTGCGGGATGGGGCCCTGGGTGGTGAGGGTCCTGTGCTGCTGGGAGGTGTCCTCAGCCATGGCTTCCCGCCCCTCGGGAGCCGCCAGCCTTTGCTGCGCCCCGAGGGAAGCACGCAGGGGGCTGTGGGGGTACAATATGCCTGACTTGTACTTCGGTGTATAAACGCACAACCCTATTTCACCAGACACTGGTGTATGCTGGTCTCGCTCGGAAACCATGAATTTGGCGTTTCTCTTGAGTTCTTTGGCGTAACTCTTGAGTGGTAATTCAATATACTTATCTATTGATACGACCAAATTGGTGTTCTCAAAAAAGGCTCTTCAAAGACACACAAAAAAACCCAGCTGAAAAACAACAGCTGGCTACGTTTGTATGAGCCTACTCTCCAGCAAAACAAAAGGAAATCCATGGGATGATTTGGAACGTAAATTGCACATCTTTCAAAAACAATTATAAAAGACATGATGTCCATGATCTGGAAAAATCGGCAAATTTGATCTGTAGCCCTAAGCATTTAGAAGCACATCCTATGCTCTGCAGCGGTATAAAAGTAGCTTGTGTTAGTTCTCACTCCAGTAAATTAGATTTTTCTCATTAAAGAGATGTAGAATGAAGGGTCATGCTACAACCTTTCGGAGACTAATAAAGGCCTTGATCAAACTCGACGCTTTTTAAAATGCACCTGCTCCTACTCTTTCAATGTATCCCAATCCTCTAAAAATAGTCAGCAATATAATTGACTTGCTCCCTGAATACTAACAATGTGGATGATCTTCCGTATCTTCTTGGCAAAACAAGCAGTATTAAAAGACAGACTAAAGTACATCCACTTCTGAACTAAAGTTTGCAAACAAAGAAGTATGTTAACCCTGGGAAAAAAAACCACAACAACTTAGCAAATTAATCTTCATTTACCTTTTCACATTTAAATATCTAGCATTCATAAGTGTGATAATAAGGAGGTGCACCTCCTTGCCTTTTTGGTTGGAAAAACTGGCATGAGATAAAGGACATATTATGGGGTTGAGAGGATAAAGGCTAAAGAAATCTATATAAGAAGATCAGATGAGCTAATGGTTCATCGGAGGTCAAAAAGATCATTAGCATTCATAGAACAGTTCACTTACTTCTGTTTAATGAGACATTGATGCACCTGTTATTAACGCAGACCTGCAATACACTACTTAGAGCTCTGTAGATGTCTTAACTAATTTGATATATTTATTTCTACCAGTTCACAAATATGACAACGCATACTTTTATATATATATAACAAAATACATACAATATCCTTCATTATTCTATAACACCACCACAATTTATCAATGAAAGATAGCTGTTTCTGCTTTCCATCTTGCTGGGCTCCAGTGTATTAGAAACACAACTGCTACAAACCACAAAGAGGAAGCACCTGGCACAGAATTTCAGGTATTTTTGCTTCTCTCCATTGTCAGGTTCTCAACCGTTTCTGCAAGACCTTCAGAAATGCCAGGAAATCAAAACTACTTACTTATGTCTTTCCATAGAAATTTGTAGTGTTTAGCAAATAATACACATTTACAGAAACCACCAGCTAGCAATATGTCTAACTACTGCCTTCTACAAGCAGCATCCTTACCCCTTTGAGCTCACCTACTGACAGTGTCCAGTAACACACCCTCCTACTTCTTGCAGATACTCCAATGGATTTCCAATGCCTGTAGGAACCGATAGCAGAAACCTGGGCCCTTACAACTGTGCTCAGCAAGCTAAGAGCTCAGGTCTCTGCTGGATAAGGGAGACCTTGATGCCTGCCATGAATTATGCTGTTTGATTATGGTCTGCATACATCCTTCTGGCATCTGAGGCCTAAGCACAGGGAACAGTGTTAACCATCTTCTACAAAGCCACCATGAGCCTAGAAGCCATCACATCAGCCCTACATCACTGGAGACTGCCCAATCTGGCGTGGTGCTGCTCCCAGATACCTGGCATTGGTTGTTCTGCACTCACAAGCTGTCTCACTGGAACTAATTTGGAGATACTCTTGCCCGTTTTCTCAACAGATAGTAAAATGTGCATTGTGTACTACCAGTTATAAAGCCTACTGATTCACTGCACACAGCTCATGGAGGCAGAGGTGGAAACTTGTACATGACTGCTCTTACACAACCTTTCCTGCAACAGTACCTTATGCAGATTTTGCATCTACTCATCAAAGCCTGCCTTTACTGTAAAATGTTCTCCTTAAGACTACCTTAGAAGTTTTGCAGCAACTTTGGCCAGCATGCAAACCAAGTGCCCAGCAGAGTAAGGCTAGCCCTCTGGACACACAGGACCTGTTGGTCCTGGTATGGACCCTCCATTTGCTTTTTCTGCAAGAAAAAGTATTGGTGATGGATCTTGAAAACCTTCATTTAAAATGGTGACAGGTATTTGTGAGACAGACATGACAGTTAAGGTCAGCTGGGACATACAAGGTGTACATCTGCACTTTTTGTGACAACAGAAACATGTCAGTGAAGGCTCTATTCTCTGACCCATAACAGTTCATAGAAGTTTTAGTCCGGTGACCTTCAAAGCAAAATACACATATCTTCTTTACTACTTGATGAACTAATTTGTATTTCAAATTCCCTTAAATGAAGCACCTATCTGTCAGGATGATAGGCACTGTACAGAACTTGCAAAGAGAAAAAGAACTATATAAAGCAATCAGAGAAGCCTTTTATTCAGCTGCTACAATAAATGACAGGTAGTCTCATTATGCAATTCCCCTAGCTCCTCTTAACATACCTGACCCCTAGAACTGTATCACATGATTCATCAGTATTGTAGTTTCAAATATTTTCCAAACACTGCAGTAATATCTTCTCACAGTGATTTTGCAGTATCGGTCTTGTGCATGGAGAACTGAAGATTCCCAAAGTGCACATGTACCTCTCACAGCGCATTCAATGAGGACAACAAAAGAGATGGTGTGCAAACAGAATCTATATAGCATTTTAAACTTTATCATAAAATATTTTCATAGAACAAATGAAAGAAAACATGTATATGACAACATAAATAATTACAATACCTTCTTATATTCAGATGGAAATTGTGCACAACCTTGTTCAAAAGACCTTGCATATTTCGTTAAGTAACTTTAAGTAATTCATTAAGTGTTCTTGCATTAGCAAACTGGATTATATAGTGATGAATGGGGGGATAGTGTGAAAACAGCAAAACAGACCCAGACACAGGTGTGACTTTACCTGTTGCCTCTTCTCAAATTCTAACTTGATACGGGATTTGATGCAGTTGCACGTGTCCTGATACGTCTGCTGCAGCGCAAGTTCCATGAGGTGCTTGTGGTATGCTCCTGCCAAGTTTCCGCAGATAAAAATGATTACATTTGCCAATATCTAGGGGGTTAAAAAAAAAAGTGTCAGGGAATTTATATGAATAAATTAACGCAACATAATCCTAACCTGCAATGAAAGATAGCTGTAGTTGCTGCAGTTATGTATTTTGCTTTTGTTTGATTTTTAGCAAAGGTTCACTTTTCAAAAAGCCTTCACAATTGGTGGCAAAATCCCAAGCAATAATACTATTTTAATTTAGGATTAAATAAGAATGATAATGAACAAGATGTTTGCCTACTCAATGAGGTATACATTTTCTGAAATTCAGCTCATGTTCTACATCCACTGCTGAGTATTAATTAGGTGGGATCATGATCTACTGATGTAAAACAATAGCTATGGCTCCTAATAGCAACATCAGAAGTCATGTTATTGCCATGCTCTTTTGGCAAGAAATTTTCTTTTGCAGTGCCATATGATTAAGGGGTGAAAAGTTTCACCTACATCAACAGCCTGCCCTGCATTTTACTTCAGCCTGACCCACTGCTATCTGTCAGTGACCTCTAGATACTAACCTTGGTGACGGTAAGCTATGTTTAAGTAGCAAGATCTGACATCTCTCTACTAGAATATACTTTTCACTACTACCTAAAAAAAATGCATTTGCCTAAAACACAAAACTTAATCTATTTAGGGTCAAACTTACAGCATCAGATGCTCAGTGTACACAACAACACATGAACATGATAAGTAAGTTCATTTAAAGAATCCAGTTTTATTTAGTAATTGTCTGGGACATTTCAGAGAGTAAAGAGAGGAGAGAGGCTGGCCTTTCCTGTGCTTGAACTTCAAAAAGAACAGAATACTGTGTGGTGATGAGAGTACTTTCAACTGTCCCCAGTTTATTGCTGCAAAAAGAGAGACACATTTACCCATCCTAGCTCACTCGGAGCAGAAGAAACACAGTAGAGTAATGAAACCAATTCCTAATTCAATAAAAAAAGGTAATATTAAAAGGGAACTGAAGCTGAGATACAGCTACAATCTGTAGAGCAGGTCTCTATCTGTAAGGCCCTAGTGTATCATATAGCCTGGGTTACAAGTACTACATGATGTCCTATTACTCATGGTCTGGAAGGGAAGGAGGCAGAAAGGAGGCTAAAATTTCATTAATTCTCCATAGTTAATCTAATCATAAGGTTTATGATAGATTTCCCCAGTGATCATTCACTGGTTGGTTTTGGTGTACCTATGTACCAGGCAATCTTCTGTGAATTGCTAGTAGTGAAAGAGCCAGAGATGTCAGAAAAAAAGTCTAATAGTATGCTACATTGGTTCGGAGAAAAGAGATAAATTGTGTTATCAACAGAAATCCATCTCCTTGAGGAACACATTTTATTCACAAAAAAATACAAGGAGTTTTAAAGCTCCTTTTATAAATGCACACTTTAAAATTAAAGTTTTAAAGAAATGCTTTTATTTTCCTCACAAATTATAACATCGTTACAGGCAATACCTGTTCCTCCATCTGTGACATGTCTGACATCTCACCTCTCATGGTTCCACAAAGCTAAAAGTGGGAACTATATACCCTTGCCACAAAAAGGATCAATGTTTTCAATTTGATAAAACTTCTCTTTCTTTTCCTAAAACTTTAAGATCATGGCATTATGATGTTTCTAAAAGCAACATCCGAGTTCTTAAAATTTTCTAAAATACATAAATGTAAAAACAAGGAGAAAAATCTAAATATTTCACTTTCTCCAAAGAACCTCTGTTATGAAGTAGAGGGATAAGAAATAGTTTAAATGAAACATTTCACAACAGCCGATAATTTAAAAAACCATAAGAGATGATGGTGTACAGAAAAAAATCTGAACTCAAAATACTTTTCTATTTCTTTGTAAATCACAACTGCTTCATTCTACTTTGATGTCAGCATCGTCACATACTCTCAGCAGACACGGATCTTGTGTGACAGATTACAGTGCAGGGATAGGGTGTTCCAACTGGCTGGTTTTTTAAATGAAATTATGAAATGAGAACAAATGCCTGAAAATAAAGATTGCTGGGCATAGAAAATTCTGAGATAGGCAGTGGGAAGGTTTAGTAACAAAATGAACACTGAACTGAACTGAAATCAACAGTGTGCTGTCATAATCTCTATGCAGAGCTCATTGTTGAAAAGCCACACACAAACTTCTAAATGTATTGTCCAGCTTCATAAAGTTACAGACTATTTAAAACTTTAGGCATATAACCAGTCAAAAAAAAAATAAAATACTGTGATGGGTAGATGGAGGAGTAAATTATGAGTATCATCTTCACAGCCATAGAAAAACAGATTACAGTTTTATGACTGAACTAGCTGAAGTGAGAAAATAGATGGAAACAAGTGACTGACAGGCAAGGAAGCTAATTAACCAGGCTTTTCAGATTCTCAATGGGGTAATTCAGCCCACATGAAGCTCTGTGCTGGCTTCCAGTACCTGAATTAGGCTGTTCAAAGACAACTCAGATATCTCAGCCATTGCCATACTCAGTGTAGATGTAACACTTAAGTGTGTAAGTGAATATGTAGATAGAAACTGTGTTCGAAACATCATTAGTTCTTTTGGCTAGCCTAAAGTTCATTCAGAAATGTGTCACAAGGGTATAAGCTTAGAAAAAAATTTCCAATAAATGGATGTATGGGTTTCTAACTCAGACAAACAGGTTTTTTGCCCATAGGTAGTCTGGCTTGAGTGAATATTTCTGTACTTGCCACTGAAGAGCTATTGAGTGAAATACAGATTGTCAATAGACTGTTCAACGGGAAATGCAATTAACATTGCTAAACAAAATAAACAATGTATATACTTCTTGCTAAGTGTCTCTCTTCTCCTACATCTTGCATTCGCTTCTGAACCGTGGTCCAGTTTCAACATATGAGCTGGAGACGAGCTCCATCCCAGGTTTGCTCTAAGGTCTCATAGGCATTTTACCAGAAGGAACAGGTTCAAAGTTTTCCTCAGTCCAAAAAAATTAAGTGAGCTTCCCCCTTCCTAAGCAAGCACTCTAATCAGTATGCAATCGTACAAAAAGTTCCTCCTCTTCAGGCACGTGCTCCAAGAAGACCCCATGCTGTGAATCCTACCTGTACCAAAGCATTTGGAATGAAATCCTGACTCAGTCCAGCCTTCTACCTTGTTTCTCTAGGCTAGGACTCTGCAGCTCTTTCTCTTTTCCTCTATTTTTTTTCTCCCCACCCCTTCCTCCCTTCCCCCCAGGTGAATACTGGATAATAAGAGAAGATGTGGTGGATCTTCTGGTAAGAAACTCTGCATCTTGCTGTGAGAGCTCTGATCAACTGTGCAGATAAAACTGTAGCCAAGAACCTCTGTAAGGGAATTAAGGAGTACCTGAACAGACTATGCAACATGGTTAGGGCTTCTGCCAAGGAGGACAAGCCTGAGCTGTGGAAAAGGGTGTAACTAACAACGGTAACTCAACAGCAGAAAAAGAGCAGGATGACCTCAAAGACAGTGTAGCATGAACCTAGTTCATCCCCTTTACAAACAGACACTGTATAAAAAAAAAAAACCACCACACAATATGCATAAACTCTAGTAAGCTCCCACTCAATTCACCATATGGAAACACTGAGTCACACAGCAGAAGTTCTAATCTCCCAGTACAGTCAGCGGAGAGGCAAGTCCATCTGCATCCCTTTAGATATATCCATTAAGCGTATACTGTGGTGAGGTTTCTGCTTAATCAATGAATAAATTCAATGTCTACAGAAGGTGATCCACATGAGTCAAAAATTAATGCAAGGAACACCAAGATACCACCAGGAAGTATCTCTAGATACTCCAAGTACCAGCTGGTACCTCTAATCACTTAAGGAACATTACCATGCCTGATCTCTCTTCCATCTCTTTTGATGTATAGAAAACTGTATGCATTTCCAGGCAATGGGGCATTTTCTAAATTGTATTTTTACATTCAAGCACATGTATTTTTCAGCATCAGTGAATATAAAATAATCTGATGTCTAGTACTTAACTATCAAAATAGACTGTATTTAAAAGCAAATGAAGACAAAGTTACGTAGCTATGACTAATTTCTCAAGAGAGCACTAAAGTTCACTGAGTTGCTCAGAAAAATGTAGTGTATTATATAGAAGTTCAACTGATGAAAGCTATGTACAAAGGTATATGTATACAAGGAAGTACTATGCTATATAAAAATAAAAACTTACAATATAGGCTGCTGATTCTGAACTGAAGCATAAATAATTTGTTAAATTAGTTAAATATTTTAGTAACCGCTGTTCAAATACTGAATATAAATATCAGAGTTCTCAACAGAGTTCCCCCACGTGGAAAGCCTCCAGTTTATGAGTTATTTTGTTGCATTTCTTTCTTCTTAGATATTGTACAGATCCTTCCTGCAATTCTTGCATGAACAGAATTTTTACCAAAAACCCCCAACACAAACAATTAATACCTTTTTTTAACAGTTAGATCCCACTTCTCTTCTGGATAAAAAAGCTGAGGAAATGGAAGCTGAGGGGTGGGCAAGAAAGGCTATGATTTATAATGTCCTCATGGAAGTTAATGGGAGAAAAAAGAAACCTTCTGTCACTGTCAAAAGTGCAAATTCTTTAGGTCTGCAAAGCTGAATCGTCTCTCTCCTCATTTGCTCTTTCATTTGATGGTTTGTGGTGTGACTAGCCAAGCTAGGGAACAACTCTACACTTCTTTGGAACCTGTACAGTTTTAGACTCAGACAAAATTCAGCTAGGAAGAACAACACTGGGTAGAAACTGAAAAGCACCATTTAAAAAGGAAATGCGTAGCCACCATGCAAATTAGTCAGTCACATGGTTACCATGTACTATGCTAAATACCATTATTTTAGGTACATGTGTTTGGAAGGTTCTCCAGCTATTCCATGCAACACTCCTGCCCATGGAGCTCTGGCCAGTCATACGATGTTGACTTTTTCTCTTTCACATTTCCCTACGTACGGAGGTCCAAAGTCAAGAGTTCCAACATTTTAATACATTTCAGTG